TCTTACATTATTACGTTTTTGTTACGTGTAAGGAGTGCAAGAATTGTCCATATTCTCCATTGTCACAAGCGGTTTCGGCCATTTTATTTAGCAATTTTACCTGCTACTATTATTCAAAGGAACACAAAAATAAAATATGTATTAAATTGTTTAAATATGAAGAGAACCTAACAACTCATATCCCCTGTCCACCAAGAAAATGACAAATGAATCCTCTGAAAGCGCTTGTGACAATGGACAATAGGAACTATTTTTGCATTCACTTACTTCCAGCAATTGGAAATATAAGAACAATGAAAAAAAATAAATAAAAAATTAATTAAATATTCTTTAGTACATGTCTATATTTCTGAGATGAGGTATCATGTACAGTATTTACATTATTCGGACTATTGTCCTCATCTTTGTCGCCATATTTATTACCACTTTTTCGGCCGTTGTACGCTCTGGCCTCCTTCAAGTGTTTGAAATGTCGAAGTGAATACTTTATTTCACTCATTGGGGTTTAGTTCCAGGTGCCATGTTTAATGGTTGTTATATCCTGTTAATTCCCCTCTCCAAGTTCTCCGCTGCCTTAACCGGGTATTGGAATCGCACTCTTTGGGTCCTCGAGGACACATGGCACAGTAGATAAAGGCGTTGGTTAGATCCTGTTACAGTACCCAAAGAGTGTGAGTTCAATACCCTGTTAAGGCAATGGAGAACGTGCAGATGGGAATTAACAGAAGATAACTGATACCTGACATAGATTAAACATGGGACGTGGAAGTAGAACAGTCTACCCAAGTGAGCGAAATAAAGGGTTCAGTTTGACATTCCAACTACCTGAAGAAGGCCGGAGAGTACAACGGCCGAAACGTTGTAATAAATATGGAAACAAAGATGAAGACAATAGTCCGAATAATATAAGTAGTGTAAATATTCTTTGACTGTCATAATGCATTAAAAAAGTTTTTCAGTGCTAAAGACAAACTAATAAAATAACTAGTGGCTACATAAGATTCTACTTAGAGTTGTTCCTTTATGACAAATGTCGTTTAATTCTTAATCTTTTTTCTGATACATAAATAAATAAATAAATGGAGAACGACCTGCATAAGCCTTTCTCACAAAACTGAAAAGACACCATGTTTCTTCAGTTTCCATATTCAAATTCCTTCATAGGAAAAATGGCGGCCAAATATTTTCACTTAAAAAAATGCAACCCCCATCAATATTTTACTGGAATCAAAAGGAAATACCTTCCACAAAAATACAAAGCTGTTAATATCTATGTTTAGATTCGTGTTTACTGCTGTCAAAATTGAATGCACGGTGAAATATTTTGCGTCTCTTGTTTGAGAAGATATGGTAGTTAAAATGAAGGTAATGACTGTAAACTGTAAGTCGATTGTACATGTACCGAGTCAAACCATACCCGTTTTCTAGGAATTAATTTTTCATGCCAGTGCCTGTGTATTACTCTCAAGATAACAGCCGGTGGTATATAACTTAGCGAGTGTACGAATTGCTTCATTCCCCAGAGATGTTACAATGAGCCTAACATAAAGGAAACTCGCAAATTTTCAAGGCAGATGCATAGATTCTGATGACTCTGCATGTGTACTCGTGACCGAGATGTCAGAACCTTCGCATTCCGACCATGAGCCCTGGTTTCGAATCGGCCACTCGATAACATACTATGGAAATTGAAATGAGTGTAATTGGAACTATTTGGAAGTTGTCGAGTTTTATGCGGGCGCAAAGTCATAAGTCATCGTGACCGAGAGTTTAAGTGTATTGACCTTGGCCAGACTGTCGATCACTTCAGATAATACACTCTCGTCAACAGACTGTAACTAAGGTATGCTCAGCGTAGTTGCAGTATAAATCACGAATGAGATCCGTGTGTTTGTTGAATAAACATAAGTGTGCCTGAGTTGGCGCATGCAACATGAATTAGCTAGCCACCCTAGTAGACAGGTATACTCGGTTATGAGGAGATAGTCACCCAGAGCCACGACATTGCGTCAAAGAAAATCTACACATTTAAAATAAATAATAATTGTAATAGGAATAACAAATTCTAATATATATATATTAAAATCATCATGGCAACATTAATGACGAATATCTTAACCAAACATTTCTTTTGACCAAATCTATTGGTGTCAATATATTTTTGGATAATCAATGCATACATAGTTATTGAATTCTATCGTGATTTTTTTTATTGATATAGTATCTAAATCCCATGTCTAAAAATCTCTGTACATGTACATAGCCAGAATTTCTGACTGGTTTTAAATCAAGGCAAAAACGCAGTTTGCCTTTCTCTTTCTCCTACATCTTAGAGCAGAAGAGATGGATCCATTTCTTTCCCTAAAGATATTTTTTGTAAAAAGGAATATAACTAAATCAACAGGGATTCTAACACGGATCGCCGTTATCACGCGCCGTTTCGTTAACCATTACATTATCTAAACACCAGCCAATGAAAGAGGTTAGAATAATTTACCTTATTAATTTGCAGTTTTAAGTTACCTAAATGTGACATAACCAGAAAACCTGCTATTTACACGTAATGAAAAGATCAGCCATGCTAATTAAAACTAAAACTTCTTTACGCCAGTCTAGATACAATTAATAAGTCACAATACCGTAAAATAAAAAGAAATGCTTGACATAGCGAAACACAATAACAGACACATAGTCTTGTTTTGTATATTAAACATATAAAAAATTCGATTGATCTCTAAGATTTCCTTCTACAAAGGGATTGATGTCTTTTTTTCCGAATCACGTAGGGTGATGGATACATTACGACGTTCTTAACAAAGAAACAAAAATAAATCATGTCTAAAGAAAGAGAAAGAAAAGAATCCCACCCTCAGAGGCAAATATGATAACATGTATCACCACATCATCCAAAAAAAATTACCTCGTCTCACATACTCAAATGTCAGATCGTATTGTTCTCTAAAGCCTCACATATTCCTTTGAAAGTTAACTGCATAAAAACAGAAATATTTATCTTTTATCAAAAAAAAATGTAGTCACGAATTATGCCACGTATATAGGATTAAACACTAAGATAATACTTTTTTAACAATATATGCCTCATTCTTCAGGATTATGTTGTATCCGCTGTTTCTTTTCATATATATATATATTTTTTAAAAAGATGCTTCATATTTCTTCATTGCTTTTCTATTTGATAATCAATGTAACCAGAAGATGAGAGTCAAATTTAAATATTTTCTGTCAGAATTTTCAAAAAAGTACATTTATCATTATATCTATAACGGTCTATGAAGATTTCGCAGCCTGGTAAGAATGTCTTCTCCCAAATTAGTTATATGATCTCTCGGTCAGATTCCAAGTCGGTCGATGAAAACATTCGTATAAGCTTATCGTAAAAAAAAGATCCATAGTTAAAATAAAAATATATTTATACTATGTAGCGCTTAAAAAATAAAGTTAGCGCAGATAAACATCGAAATGTGCCAACTAGGGATGCTCATATGTTAATCAGAGTAAATGATCCTAGCTTAGTTGTGATGGATTACAGTCGCTTAACGACAAATCTCGTTTGCATAGAAATTGGCTTAGCAGACTGAAAAGGGCAAGTTTGATTTTAATCAAAGAGCATATTTCTTTAATAAGAAACTTTCGATCCCGAACCTAATACGCGATAATTCCACTGTGTAAAAACTAGAAAAAATAATTTCTGTTAAGGCAACGATACTGAGTACGTATAATGTCCTATATATATATATATATATATATATATATATATATATATATATATAATAAATAAAAGTGTAAAATTTAATATTACAAGATATTAAAACAATATTAAATAAAAAAAAAACTCAACAACAAGGGCAACCGGTCCTGCTCATCATCCCGTAGAAACCTGAGCGGGAGCGAAACCGGTTGCTTCCCCCTTGTTGTTGAGTTGAGTTTTTTTATTATTTAATATTGTTTTAATATGTCTTGTAATATTAAATTTTACACTTTTATTTCGATCATTAAATTTTGTACCTACAAAATATCTTTTAAATATATATATATATATATATATATATATATATATGTATATATTTCAATAATGGTGAAATCAGCGTTGCTACTGCACGCTCCAAAAACAATAACTCATTTCTAATAGCATTTTTCGGATGCAATAATACATATATTTTCGTTGTCTTTTTTATTACTGAGAGAAAAAACAAGAACAACATCTATTCCATACCTAAAGATGTCTGTAGGAACAGACGAAAGCTTGTAGTAAAAATAAGAACTAATGCCACAGAAATTTATAAAAACAAGTATCTTTTCATTCATAACAGGTTCGGGGTTTTTGTATATTATTTGAATTGTTCGCGACGATGGATTTCTCTCCAATTAAATCATTAACCTTTGTATTTGTTTTTGTATGAATAATTCATGAATATATATATATATATATATATATATATATATATATATATATATATTATTAAGAAACCCCATCTAAATTTATTGTAAAAAAATATACCATTGTTTATATTTTAGAAGCACTCTAAAATAAAGAGCCCAGTACTTGCAGAAAAGTAAAGATACCAATCCCAAAGAGTTAGGTAGATTTAGTGGCGGCAAAGATTAACCAGAACGTAGCTTTCTTTTCTCTTTTGGTCAATGTGTTGACAGCATGATTTACAGGGATAGATTCCAGATAGGAAAAGTTGAACAATTTTAAACTAAACTTTCCCTGGCACTGTAGGTGAGAGAAGGGGTCAATGACCTCATTTCACCCACAATGGGAAAAAAGTTTGTATTTGAAAATTGACCACGTGACAAGAAAAATAAGGAAACGAATAGTGAAACGAAAAAGTCATTCTTGTCCGGGCCTTAGGGCCGGACAGACGTGTTTGCGAAAAATACATGAGTTTTATCCAGGCCTAAGGGCTGAAACAACATGTTCGTGAAAATTTCGAGAAGGAGAATTCATTTCCGAATGGAATAGATGGACTCGTTTGCTATGAACGCAAAATGTTTCGTTGGTTATGCAAAAAATAAAAAGAAAAGTCCTTCATCGAACCTCGAACGGACGACCGAAGGCAAGCGCGTGGAACGCAAAAGAAACGTTGGATTTTGGAAAATAAACTACGACGTATGCGGAATGTCGCTACATCGGGATGAAAGAGAGACAGCAGACAACTTATAGAAAAAGAAAGGAAGAAAGCGAGAGAAGATCTCAAAAGGGGGATACTTATGGAAAAAGGAAAGAGAGAAAAAAAATATCTCGAAGGAGAATGATGCCACACTGAAATAAAGGAGTAGGAGAAAGAAAGCAGTTTCAACTTCATTGTCACCAAGCCCTTAAACAAAGGACGAAAGGGAAAAGAAAGAAAGAAAGAAAAGAAAAGAACACCTCAAACGAGAATGCTGCTACACCGAGACGAAAAAGAGATGTAAAGCATTTTCAACTTAATCGTCACCCACGCCCCTAGACAGGAGGAAAAGAGAAAGAGAGAAAGTAAGAAAAGACCTAAAAAAGAGACGCTTATAAAGAGAAATAGAAGAGGAAAAAGAGAAAAAAAGAAGAAGTAGATATAAGAGACATTAGCGGAAAAGAACTTTTATTACGAGATAAGTTCGTTGTTTTTCTTGTGCTTCGCTTTTGTTAAAATGTATTTCTTTTTCATTCATGTTTGTACTTTCATGCAAGTCTGGCAAGAGATCCTTTTAATATATGTTACTTTCTACTTGTCTTAAAATTTTGATCTTTTGTAAATTGGTGCAAGTATGGCACAAGGCCATGCGTTGATTTGTGTTTCACCTTACTAAGAGGATGTTCCTCTCCCACTATTTTGTCCACAGTGATTAAATGTTTATTCTTGGCACATTGCCATTTTTGTATTGGCCGTTTTTTTTTATTTTGTCTTTCTCATGTTTTTATGTTTGTTAATAAATTTATATTTCCTGTCTCCTATCGTGATTACTCCTTAATCGATTCTGCTCGGCCGTGTCTGATCAATCGGAAAGAGACCCTTGGAAAAGAAATATAGTTTACGAAAATTGAGTAAATGGAAATGTTAAAAAAAAAACAAAAAAAAACACAGATTACGATCCTCCTTAACCTCAGCTATCGATACGGTTGGAAGAAGGGGGAAGGCCGTAAGTGTATATATATATATATATATATATATATATATATATATATATATATATATATATATGGGGGAACATATATTGTTAAATATAACAGACAATGAATATCTATAATCATGAGCCAACCTAAACTTCAAATAGTTGCTTAAATTTCGAGAGAAAATAAAGACAAATATTTACCAACATTTGGATATCGTTTTATCATGTGAGCCGAAAACTAAGATCATGGAATAGCATAATAAAAAAAATATCGAAAAAGATCTTCAAAGATCCATTACAATCTGCAGTGACTGTCATATCAATAAGAAACTACATTCTGTTTTTTATGGTTTTTGATCATAATGTCTGGGCGATTAGATTTGATTGATCTGTGTTATATAAAGTCCAATAAAGTTATTTCACGTCCTATCTCTGTAACCGGGTCTGGGTAATATTTATACCATTATCTTGCAGTTACATTTCCGTAAAAGTTGCATATTTTCTAGTGTAGATGCTGGACCTCTATTGCCGAGTTTTATATTCATTGGGGCTTAACACTGTCATACCTAAAGCAGATCGTCGATTGTTTTTGGATAATTATCACAGAATCTGCATTTCGGTTAACACAATTTTTCAGTATGTTTGATATTTTTCTAGTCAGAATGAAATTGGTCCTGTGCAGCAAGAATAAAACCTTCGGTTTCAGCTTCCAGGCAGCACTATGCAACGACAGATGGCTACGGGATTTATCTACATTATTATTATTATTATTATTATTATTATTATTATTATTATAATTATTTTTATTTTCTTTAATTTCTGGCGTTTACACATTTCTTTCCGGGTCCCGTCCAGGGACCTAAGGTTAAAAATGGCGTCATGACACTTTCCACCGACAAAAAATAAAATAAAATAAAATAAATAAATTACATAGATAAAGCCCTTCGTAAGGTGTGGGCTGTACTTGTCAGAACAATTTTTTGTATCTCCTTGACGCATGGACTTCCAGGAATCCCTTCAATTAGTCTACTGCAATCTTTTCCAACCAGTCCTAGGGCTCCAACTACAACAGGGATTGTTGATGTTCCCATATGCCACATTTTCGAGATTTCTATTTCAAGGTCCTTGTATTTTGACAACTTTTTGAATATCGTCAAAGATACATTGCAGTCAGCAGGGACTGCCATGTCAATAAGGAGGCATTGTTTTTGTTTGTGGTCTTTAATAACAATATCTGGCCGATTGGCCTTGATTGTTCTGTCAGTGTGTATTGTGTAGTCCCATAGAATTGTAACAGGTCCTATCTCCGTAACCGGGTCTGGGTGGTGTTTATACCAGTTTCTTTCAGTTTCCTTCCCGTAGAAGTTGCAGATTTTCCAGTGCAGATATTGGCCCACACTGTCATTTCGGGTTTTATATTCAGTGGGTGCCAACACCATGCAACCTGATACAAGATGATCAATTGTTTCTGGATATTTATCACAGAATCAGCATTTTGGGCTGACACAATATTTTAGTATATGTGCTTGATAATTCCTAGTGAGCAAGCATTGGTCCTGCGCAGCAAGGATAAAACCTTCAGTTTCCGCTTTCAACCCTGCACTACGTAGCCACTGATGGGTACGGGTTTTGTCTACGTCAGCTTTTATTATTATTATTATTATTATTATTATTATTATTATTAGTCAGTTTATATTGCTGCATATATACTCCTGGTGTCGCCATTTTATTTCAATAAGAATGCAACTGCCGCAACGAGGAAAACGTGATTCACTTTACAATTCTGAAGGTTTTGGTAAGAATTCAGAATATACTCACTGAAATTTTACAAAAATATCTTCTAATGCTAAAGAATAAATAATAAAATCGCAACTGTCTTAAAACACGGTCTTCAGTCGACATCGGAAACTCCCACGACACTTCTGGTCGGTCTCCTTGTTTAATTTGTTGAATGCAGTCATAATCCTTGCCTTCAGTTCATCTTTCGTGTTAGAAGGAGATTTGCTGATTTCTCTGTCAACTGAACTCGTCATGAATCCTGCTGCCAGACATAATATCTCCCAGCAGACACCCACTTGACTTAGGCCAGCAATACCACCTCAACGCACTTGATGGAGGCCTCTGTGTTGAGAGTGAATCACTGTGAGATGAATGTCAACATAACGTCACCATCACTAACTGCCAAGCAGTACGGTATTCCGGTTCCAAATTTTTTGTGGTCCGAATTGCGTCATGGTGTTATTTTTTCCGCCATACGGTGTCCAACAGAGCATACTACACTGTGCATTGCATAAATAACGCGGATGTGTTAAAAGATATGAAATGACAACATGTTAACCATCATAACATCTCTTCCAATATATATATGTGTGTGTGTGTGTGTAATATTGGAGGAATCGAGACTTTTATCATACAGTCTCAGTTACGGTGGACTGGTCATGTCTTGAGAATGTCTGATGACAGGATATCCAAGATACTAATGTACAGCCAGTTACATCAGGGCTACAGAAATGTAAGAGGCCCATGGCTAAGATACAAAAGCAACTTCTCAGTCGTCCATATACCACATAACACCTTTGAGCGCTTAGCTTTGGAGCAGGTAGAATCGAGATCAACGTGTTTTAGGGGACTCAGCAATTTTCAATCTGATTGTCTGAATAATCTTCAAGAAGCGAGAGCAAGATCTAAAAGGTCAACCAATCTAACAGGGATCTCATCTCACAATCCTCACACTTGCTCCATATGTGGCCTCCGTTGTAAGTCACTAGCAGGTCTTAAACGCAACTTAAGATTAGCGCATAAAAATTCATAACTGGATCAATAAGCTGGCAGATCCTCATACGTCGAAACCGACGGGAGAGTTCATTATTATTATTATTATTATTATTATTATTATATATATATATATATATATATATATATATATATATATATATATATATCTCGAAATAAAAGTGTAAATCTTAATATTACTAGACATATTAAAAACGGGTGAAGCAACCGGTTTCGCTCCCGCTCTTCAGGCTTCAACAGTAGATTTAATTTAAAATTAAACACAGAAAAATGTACAATAAAAGGAAGTTGTGGGAAAAAAATTAGCAAAAGGCACTAGAGACAAATGACAGCGAGCCCCAACAAACACTCACGTTGTTTACACAAAGAAGGCTTGCGGGACCCGATGTAAAGTGCCTCCAGAACCTACAGATGAAATAAAGAGTTTGACCGACAACACGGTGAACCAGTCAACACTAGTATTTATTCACCCCCCCCCCACGTGGGTATCATGTGGCACAAGGCCGGTTTAACGTGGGATCTCCGAGCCTGTCGGCTCGGCCAAAAATATGCCCTTTGAACCGTATAAATGGGTTCAGGGTCGGTTTACCTCCCCGAGAGAGACTCCGCCCTTCGGTGGAGACTCGTTCGGGTTCCTCCCTGCACGAAGGCAAAGAGTCTAACCGATCAGCCGGTCAGCCGACTTCAGACTGAACCAGTCAGCACTAAATTTGGCTGCACAATCTCTGTTCTTTAATAGGTATTCGCATGTGGCGGAACCATATGTGTTCGGGACGAGTCCATTCAACGGCAAGGTATGAGTTCTAATTTTTGTAAGATCATGTTGTTTTATTCTCATGTCTAAGTGTTGAGTTGATCTCCCTATGTAGTCGGCTCCACAACTACAAACGTATTTATAAATAATTGAATTATCTTAATGGGGAACGTCTTTACACGTGTATATATATATATATATATATATATATATATATATATATATATATATATATATATATATATATACAGGTAAACAGAATCTGCACTTGAACTAACACACACACACACACACACACACACATATATATATATATATATATATATATATATATATATATGAAAGTGAGCATTGAAATCAACACTTAGAGGAGACAATCGTCAGGCCAAGGTGGCCTGAAAACAGTGTATGCCAAAAATATAGCACCCCTTAAAACTATATTTCTTTATATATATATATATATATATATATATATATATATATATATATATATATATATATATATATATATATTCACTGATCTGCTCTGTTTCACCATTAACTACCGTCTTCTCAATTAGTCATACAACTTGATATACAAGTTTAATAAAGTTTAACAAATCGTACGGTGGCAAGTAATATTCGATCATTGCCTTTAAAGTGAACCTGTGTGTACAAACAGAATTGGAACACGGTTCATGAATTTACTTTTCATTGTAGTAACCGTTCACCAATTTTATACTGTATCCGCCATAGTGAAGAGGAAGTTAATTCTGTAAACGGAGTCGACGATGTTTAACTTAATTGATTCTGTTAAGCATTTACGTTTATATTTAGCAGGTACTGATTAAATAGTTAAAAAATGAGTCCTTTCCATCTAGGTTCCATTACATGTGATATTTAATACCTTTCTGGCAAGCATTTATATTGATGAACCTTGACAACAGTGCAATTCTGATAACGGTCTTTGTGAAGAAACTGCCTATTCGAGGGAACAATTTGTATCCACTTTAGGTCACCAATCGTTCTCTTTAGAAATAAAAAATGCGTACATATTAACAGAATACGATCACTCCAATAACAAGGTTATATTACTATCGAACCAGCCGTATTTGTTCGGATCCCAACTCCATTTCCCCTCCGGGATGGAAGGCACTATAAAATATACATTCATACGAACAGATACATGTAATATAAGTGGCAAAACAACCCACGTGTACATACCCGTAATCATCCTCGCACAAAAGAAAGAAAGAAAGAAAGAGACGGTGGTAGAAGGAGAGAGAGAGAAAGAGAAAGCTTCTTCAATCTCCTTTTTAAATCCTTACAAAGGGAGCGGATACTGTCTGAAATCATCTGTAATGATCTATTAGACTTTCCCATTCATATTCTTGACGTTAATTAATTGTCCCCATGATACTTGACGGGAAACTGAATGGCGAAAATCACAAGTGAATGTATCAGTAATTAGAAGCAGTAATTGACATTCGGTGAGAAAGCGTAGATAGAAAGGACTTATACACAAATGGGCTTCTACACAGACTGTATTAGCGTTGAGTCTGTGCTGTCTACTACATCAAAAAATCACGTCACGTTTTATTTCGGAAACCTATCCAGCAACTATATAGATTGTCTGTTTCCAGTCATGGCTTTCATGATTCTGCATCTTTTCTTTTTCTTTTTCTTTACCTTTTTTTGAAATTATTTCATAGATAATTCTGTTGTAGGGATTAAGAGATCGCTTGTCTCCATTTGTGTACGACGAACATACGGTGGTCACGTGACGACCAGAGTTTGATGGGTATTCCTGGGGGACGTACAACGGTTTACTGTGTCGACAGTGAGAAAAAAAGATAGGATAGCCCGCGGCTCTAAGCAGATGAAATGAATAAAGCACCTGGTCCGAATAAAAGAACATAAAAGGCATCACCTGGCCTTAGCGTTTTCCTCTGACACATATTACAATTATATTCTTTTCGATTTTCACACAGCTGTTTTAGTCATATATGCTATAGTTTCTCTATGTGTGACATGTAGAGAGAAATATATACATATTTTCTGGTAAGTAATATAACAAGTTTTTTTCGAGCCCAATACACCTTTCCCATTAATTTGTTTCTGAAGTCCTGGTCTTTCTCTCCATAGTGTCAAGGATATACAGAATGCGATGAATAAATTGTCGTCTAAATTAAGCAAAAAATGAAAATAATAATAACATCACATTTTAAAAGACATATTTACTAAAATTATACCAAAATATCTGGTAATAATTTAAATTTATTCAATAAAATCGCCATTGGCTTCAAACACTGCCTCCAAACAATTTCGGAATCTCCTGAATCTCGTCTGGACGTTCCTTTGTATAAGTTGTCTTCAGTTCATTTTTTGGTGTTACAAAGAGTCTTGTCGGTCTCTCGTTCCCCTCCGTTCCACATGTAATAATCAAGTGGGTTGCACACTGGGAAGTTAGGTAGCTAGATGTAAGTTGTTATGTGGTCGCAGAAATTGTCTAGCAGCCATGACTTTGTTCTCATGCTTGTGTGGCATGGTTCAGCGTTATGTGGCTAGATATAGAGTTTTCTGGTAGCCACCCACTTGACCCAGGGAAGCACTACCTCTTCAAGTCCCTTGACGTAAGCCTATGAGTTGTGCTTGAGGCCCTTACCAACAAATTCGGGAGATCTTTTCTTATCAGAACGATCAGAATGAGATTTCCGAGCTGCCGTAGTTTTGCAATCACCATTAGACAGACTCATCAAAGTCTTTCAGAATCCTCTGCACTATCCTCAAATTTACACCCAAACACTCTTAAATATTTGTTTTGGAGTTTCCGGCGCGAATGCCAAGCATTACAGCATACATTTTTCCAAATTATGTCATGGCGCCCTTTTTCTCACAGAGGTTGACAAACTAACCCTAGTATATTGTGCAGTCGATAAAATCAAAAACATACAACGTGCTTGCGTGAAATGAAAAATATAAAATGGCGACAATTTCCTCATCGCATCCTATACATATATTAATATGGACATTGGTGAGTGGCGATAGACAAGATAATTATTGCCTCTTTCCTAGTTCCATATTATTTTTATTAAATATTTCTTCTATGAATGTCTCGTTAGATTTAAGTGAGTGTAATTCTCCATGAATCTCTATAAAATTCGCAGTTATTTTGTTTTTTTGTTTGTTTTTTTCAAAAGACTGTTGGTTGAATCTGTTTAATTATTAGATTTGGATCATCATCATTTCTCAAATTATACATTGTTTCCCAAATTCTACTAATATTCAAATTAATTCAGAATACCGTCTCAAAAGAATAATCAATGTTACTGAATTTCTCAAACATCTGTTTCTGTTTTAGATTATAATCATATATGATGTAGGAGCCTCGTGGTGGTGCAATTCTTAGCAAGCTTATCTCGCTAGAACAATTACGAGTGCGTAGTGAGTTTGATCCTCATTGGGTGCCCCATACTTTCGACCTTGGGCCACATCTGAGCTACACTCGAAAAATCACTATAACCAGACATGGTGGTAATGAAGGCCTAATTTTTTGTTCATAGTTATGAATGCAAATATAAAATCGTTTGCTATGATAAATTATGATTTTGACAGTATAATTGCATTTTTCTAATTTCTGAATGACAGTAATAGAAAATCTTAGATTATAATACATTAGTGTAATGGGAGTAGAATTGCCTTAACTGGAGACAATGTAAAGGCCTTGAATGCAACAACATTTGATAGTCTACATGAAACATTTGTGATAAAAAAAACATGGGGATATGGGATTCTGTAGCAGAAAAATACTAAAGATAATTGAGAGAAAGGAATATCATTCTTGGATTCAACACCAGGGATATGTTCATATGTAAACAAAACTTCCAATCCACCATTTCAAAAAGCAAAAACAAAAAAAAAATAGTACTGATTTATTATAAGTAGAACAGTTATTTTGGTATGTCCAACAATGAAAAAAGTTCACGCAAAGTGTTTTTATTTCCCACTTTACTATTATTATTATTATTATTATCATCATTATTGTTGTTGTTGTTACTACTACTACTACTACTACTACTATTACTACTACTACTACTACTATTACTACTACTGTTGCTGCTGGTGCTATTTTCTTGGGTTCCTGTTGTATACACATTTCCTTCCGGGACCCAACCAGAAGATCTAAGTTTAGAAACGGCTTCATGATATTTTCTACTGATCAGTTTTATAAAAAAAAAAAAAAGAATCCTAACACATTTTACAGAGATAAAGCGCATTGTAATGTTTGAGATGCACTTGTGAGTACAATCTTTTGTATTTCTTTAAGTCATGGGCTACGTGGCATTTAATTGAGCCTATTGGAATATTTCTTTCAATCGATCCGAGGAGTACAACTCAATACTACAATAGACATTATTGATGTCATCACGCGCCATCATTTTAAAATTTCCACTTCATGATCCTTGTATTTTGATAGTATTTTCAAGATCTTCAAATATACAATTATTACTATTATTATTATTATTATTATTATTATTTATTAATATATTTATAAGTTACCCTTACCGACACGCATATGTTTCAGAAAAGGGAAAATGGTCATAGCTAAACAATTGTCCACAGCTTAAAGACATTATACTTTCTAGAAAAGATAAACTGATTTGTACAGCGCTTCCATCTTTGCACTCTCAATGACGTCAGATGTCTACAAGTTGTCAAGGGAGACAGGAAGTGTGCTGGAAATGATGCCGAATACATCAGCCAGAATATGCATAACTTGATGCATGCCTCTTATTGCCCTTCTAGATCATGGTACACATATATTTTCATTTGCTGCGGCTTCATAATGTCAGTATCTATTATTATTATTATTATTATTATTGTTGTTGTTGTTGTTGTTGTTATTATTATTTTCTTTGATGTCTGGCGTTTACACATTTCTTTCTGCGTCCCGGCCAGGGACCTAAGGTTAGAAACGGCATCATGACACTTTCCACTGAAAAAAAAATATACATTGATAAATCCCTTCGTAAAGTGTGGGCTGTACTTGTCAGAACAATTTTTTGTATATCTTTGAGGCATGGACTTCCAGGAATCCCTTTAATTAGTCTACTGCAATCTTTTCCAACCAGTCCTAGGGCTCCAACTACAACAGGGATTGTTGATGTTCACATACGCCACATTTTTGAGATTTCTATTTCAAGGTCCTTGTATTTTGACAGCTTTTTGAATATCTTCAAAGATACACTGCAGTCATCAGGGACTGCCATATCAATAAGGAGGTACTTTTTTGCTTGTGGTCTTTAATAACAATATCTGGGCGGTGGCTTTGATTGTTCTGTTAGTGTGTATTTTTTAGTCCCATAGCATTGTAACAGGTCCTATCTCCGTAACCGGGTTTGGGTGGTGTTCATACCAGTTTCTTTCAGTTTCCTTCCCGTAGTTGCAGATTTTCTAGTGCAGATATTGGCCCACTCTGTCATGCCGGGTTTTATATTCAGTGGGTGCCAATATCGTGCAACCTGATACAAGATGATCAATTGTTTCTGGATATTTATCAGAGAATATGCATTTTGGTCTAACACAACATTTTAGTATATGTGCTTGATAATTCCTAGTTAGCAAGCATTGGTCTTGTGCAGCAAGGATAAAACCTTCAGTTTCAGCTTTCAACCCTGCACTACGTAGCCACTGATGGGTACGTGTTTTGTCTACGTCAGCTTGTTTGGTACGGGCAGAGTATTGGCCATGAAGCGGTTTATCTTGCCATTGCTTCTGTATCCGGTCGGTTGCATTCGTCTTTGCTGTCTTTTTTAAGTATTTTGCAGTTTAACCGGTGTATTGTGCTGTACTTGCATTTCTACGCTTATTTGAAACTCCATTTTGAATTTGTTGACTTCTTTTATTACGGAGTAAAGACGCTTCAAACTTTCATGTCCCTTGACGCATACTATCATCCAGTCTTCTGTAGTTAGCAAGTATCTTTGGAGGACAATTGTTGTAATTTTGTAGGACAGTTCTAGTTGAACTAATCCTCTGCCTCCTTCGGATCTGGGCACATACGGTCAACATCAGCTTTGGGATGATGCATGCGGTAGCAAGTGAGAAGCTTTCTCGTTTTGGCGTCCATTCGCTTAATTTCAGCTATGGTCCAGTTAAGGACATTAAAACTGTATTGCACCACAGGGAGAGCCAATGTGTTTATGGCTGATATTCTGTTTTTTTTTTAGTTTAGCTCGGTATTTAGTACCAGACGTACACGCCTGTAGTACTCTTTTCTTATTTATTCCTTCATTTGTGGGTGTTGTATGCCATCGCCTTCACTAATTCCTAGGTACTTATAAGCTTCATCATGCTCCAGTTCCCTAATGTTTGTGACAAAATTATTATTATTATTATTATTATTATTATTTCTTCCTTTGATTTCTGTTGTATAAACTTTTTCCAGTGTCCTAACCAGGGACCTAATGTCAGAAACAGCTTCATGACATTTTCAACAAATAATATTCGTAAAAAAATTAGGGTAAAACACATTGTACACAGATAATGATCTCCGTAATGTCTGAGCTTTCCATGTGAGTACAATTTTTTTTTTTTGCATTTATTTAAAACACGGTCTACCAGGGCTCTCTACAATAATTCTATCGTAACCTTTTCCAATCAATTCGATGGCTTCAACTACAGTGATTTTCCAAGCGTAGTTTAGATGTGGCACAGGCCCGAAAGTATTGGGCACCCAGTGTGGATCGAACTCACTACTCAATCGTAATTGTTCTAGCGAGACTACATTGCTAGCCATTTAACTGTCTTGGGGTGCTCAAATGGCTTCAACTATAACTGGATCTATTGATGTCCTCATCTGCTACATTTTCGAAATTTCCAGTTTTATTTTGGTCGCTTTTTGACTATCTTCAAAAC